ACTGTAACGGTCAGAACTGGGTCAGAGCAGAAGCAAGCCAATCCAAAGCCAGGAGTCAGGAGCCAGGAGCTTTCTCTGGGTCTCCCAGATGGGTGCGGGGTCCTAAGGCTTTGGACCATCCTCGACTGCCTTCCCAGGCCATAAGCAGGGAGTTGGATGGGACGCAGGGCTGCCAGGATTAGAACCTGTGCCCATATGGAACCCTGGCACATTCAAGCTGAGGACTTTAGCCACTAGGCTACTGTGCTGGGCCCAAGGGAATTATCTTCTTTTTGTGTGTGTATGTTTACTTTTTTTCACATTTTTTAAATTATAATCGTTTTCATAATCGTTACATAGTTTAAAAGGTTCAAGGGCTACAGGAAAGTGGGTAAGACTATCATTTATTTCCACATTGTTTCCTTCATATAACTGGGGAAAAGGGGGGATATTAAGGGTGAAGCCCCACCCAGTCCACCTTTCGAATGAAAAATAAATCTTCAAAAAGAAAATAAAAGATGCTTCAGAATTCACAGAAAAATAGAAACTGAAATAATTTTGGTACAGAGGTTTTCTGAAATCTGTATGTTGTTATAATATGCAATCCCATAAATCTTTTTTTAAGATTAATTTATTTTCATTGCATGTCAGATATACATCCGATGGTTCACTCCCCAAGTGACCGCAACGGGTGGAGTTGAGCCAATCCAAAGCCAGGTGCCAATAGCTCTTCTGGGTCTCCCATGCGAGTACAGGGTCCCAAGGCTTTTCCAGGCCACAAGCAGGGAGCTGAATGGGAAGCAAGGCCACCAGGATTAGAACCAGTGTCCCTATGCCATCCTGGCACATAAGGCAATGACTTTAGCTGCTAGGCTACCGTGCTGGGCCCAGTACTTATCTTTTTTTTTTTAAGATTTATTTATTTTATTGGAAAGGCAGATGGACAGAGAGGAAGAGAGACAGAGAGGAAGATCCTCTGTCCTCTAGCTCACTCCCCAAGTGGCTGCTATGTCTGGAGCTGAGCTGATCCAAAGCCAGGAGTCTGAAGCCTCTTTCAGGTCTCCCACATTGGTATAGGGCCCCAAGGCTTTGGGCTGTCCTTGACTGCTTTCCCAGGAACAAGCAGGGAGTTAGATAGGAAGAGGGGTCACTGGAATTAGAATCAGCACCCATGTGAGATCCTGGTGCATGCAAGGCAATGACTGGCCGCTAGGCTATCATGCCAGGCCCCGTAAGTGGTTATTTTAGGAGTGAATCAGAGAATCAAAGATCTCTCTCTCATTCTCTCCTTCCCTCTTTGTAACTCTTTCAATTAGATCAATCTTAAAAAAAATAAATAAATGACCCATTAGCTGACACAGACTAGAGTTCTAGCAGAGTCCAATACCCTTTTGCATCACTTAGAATATGTGCTTGTCTGCTACCTCTGGATTCAAAGCACTAGCACAAACAGCACCGCTCCCAGCGAAGGCCAGCAAGGAGATGTACACTGTCCGAAAGGACCTGGCTTCCTATCCATTCCTGCCAAGCAGACACGTGACCGCAGCTGCCTTGGACCCTCAGCGCCAGGCAAACTGCCACCAAACGATCCCAATCAGAACCACACCAGAGTTCCTCATCAAGATTTGCTTGAGTCTCTCATACATAAAATTGGGACGATATAATGAAACAGTTAGTATTTCAATTCAGTTTTTGAGGGTGAGTTAACACAGAGCACCTTACTCCAAAGAGAAAGATCTATAGACAAACTGATGATGATAATGCAAGAGAAAGAGTAAGAAGAAAGGGAAGCAGGCCCAGCACAGTGGCCTAGCAGCTAACGTCCTCGCCTTGAACGCACCAGGATCCCATATGGGCACTGGTTCTAATCCCAGCAGTCCCACTTCCCATCCAACTCCCTGCTTGTGGCCTGGGAAAGCAGTCAAGGATGGCCCTGCACCTGCGTGGGAGACCTGGAGGAGGTTCCTGATTCCTGGTACCAGATCGGCACAGCACCGGCCATTGCGCTCACTTGGGGAGTGAATCATCGGACGGAAGATGTTCCTCTCTGTCTCTCCTCCTCTGTCTGTATATCTGACTTTGTAATAAAAATAAATAAATCTTAAAAAAAAAAAAAAAAAAAGAAGAGGAACCAAGGAAAGCAAGCAATTCAGCGTGGCCAGGTGGTAGGGCCTAGGCTGTGGACTCTCCCATACTCTCAAAACTGTTCACCAGCTCTAAGAAGCAAACAGGAAAGACAATCTACCTGGGGGCCGGTGCGGTGGCGCAAGTGGTTAAGGTCCTCGCCTTGCACGCCCGGGATCCCATATGGGCGCCGGTTCTATCCAGGCAGCCCCTCTTCCCTTCCAGCTCCCTGCCTGTGGCCTGGGAAAGCAGTCGAGGATGCCCAAAGCTTTGGGACCCTGCACCCGCGTGTGGGAGACCCGGAAGAGGCTCCTGGCTTCGGATTGGCATAGGATCGGCCGTTGCGCTCACTTGGGGAGTGAATCATCAGACGGAAGATCTTCCTCTCTGTCTCTCCTCTCTGTATATCCGCCTTTCCAATGAGAAAATAATAAAAATAAATCTTTAAAAAAAAAAAAAAAAGACAATCTACCTGGACAGGCCCTCATCCTCTTGGCCCTCCTTCGAATGAGTTCCTCACTTCTTACCCCTCCCATGGGGGGCATTGGAGAGCTTCTGTGGCTGAAGACTTCTGATGGGGGAGGGATTCATGTTTTCTTTCTTTTTTGTTTTTTTAAAAAGATTTATTTTTATTTTTATCACAAAGTCAGATATATAGAGAGGAGGAGAGCCAGAGAGGAAGATCTTCTGTCCGACGATTCGCTCCCCAAGTGAGCACAATGGCTGGTGCTGCATCAATCCGAAGCCATGAGCCAGGAGATTCTTCCAGGTCTCCCACGTGAGTGCAGGGTCTAGGGGCTTTGGGCCGTCTTCCACTGCTTTCCCAGGCCACAAGCAGGGAGTTGGATGGGAAGTGGGTCTGCTGGGATTAGAACTGGTGCCCATATGGGATCCTGATGCATTCAAAGTGAGAACTTAATCCACTAGGCCACCGTGCCGGGCCTGACACTAGGTTCACATGTTAGCTAGCCTGCTATTTTGGGGAGACGCATCACAAGTTTCAGCATTGCTTCTAACACTTACGTTGCAGAGGCACAGGCTAACACAGTGATGAGCTGTGTTTAAGCATAGCTCCTCATTCCCCAGGGTGCTAGAAACCATCAATTACAAAACATAATAGACACACATGAAGACCAGCTGGATGCGGCTAGATAGAAACTCCTGGTGGGATACCAAGGTGGGTCTGGGAACTGATAATGGGGAGAGAGAATGTGAGAAAAGTGCATTTCAGGAAAGAAGGAAAATAGATGCAGAGAATCTGGACACACAGATTAGGAAGTGTCTGTCGGACATGTAAGCAATTGCATCCACTATGCGGCTGGTGTGACCTGGGTAAGTCAGTAAATCTGGAATTGGGATGTCAATTACAGATGGGAAGGCACCCACTCACTCAGGAAGCACTGGGTGGTCAGCTGGGTCCCAGGTCTGGAAAAGGGAGGAAAGAACAGCAAAGAAACAATGTCATGCCCCCCACCCCCCAGGATGTCGCCATCTTCCTTTCCAGGCCAGAGAGATCATCTTCAACAAAACCTCTTTTCCAGATTTATCATCATTTATTTACCCAACTCACCAGAAATTTTGCCTGTTGTGTCTTTCTGCAATGACCATTTCATTTAGCAAATATTTACTGAGCAAGTGCTCTGGGCCAGGCACCAAAATGACACAGCAGGGTCCCATGCGGGAGCCTAGTGGCTAAAGCTCTTACCTTGCATGCAGCAGGATCCCATCTGGGCACCAGTTCGTAATCTGGCTACTCCACTTCCCATCCAGTTCCCTGCTTGTGGCCTGGGAAAGCAGTCAAGGACAGCACAAAGCCTTGGGACCCTGCACCCGTGTGGGAGACCCTGAAGAAGCTTCTGGCTCCTGGCTTTGGATCAGCTCAGCTCTGGCCATTGTGGCCACTTGGGGAGTGAACCAGAGGATGGAAGATCTATCTCTGTTTTCTTCTCTCTGTAAATGTGACTTTCCAATTAAAAAAAAATTTTTTTTAAATAATAAAATGACACAGCGCCAGGTCACACCAGGGACCAAATCAATACCACACCTCAAAATGTTTTACCCTCTGGGGAAGGAGACCCACGGAAGTATTTGATACACTGGGAAAGGGAAAAGCTTATGTCAAAGCAAGCTGAGGAAGGGAAGGTGGAGTAAGTGGGCGGTCAGAATTATTTCTGGGGGTGATGTGTGAGTGAGGACTGGAAAACAGTATGGAAGTTCCAGGTGAGTATGGAAGAACTCTGGCGTGCACTTCTGACTGAATGACAGTGACCTCAACAGGCAACAGAGATCAGAGAGAGGATTTCGAGGAGCAAAAGGGGAGTGCAGTGCAAAGCCAGCTCCACACGGCTGGAAAGCCTCAATGAAAATTCAAGTTTGCAGGACTCCCCCTAAGCGACACAGAACCGGGACGGGTCAGCAGCTAACACAGCCTGGACAGTCGTGAACCTGGCGGTCGAATCACCTGCCAAGTGATGGACAGAGCAGGGCTGTGTCCAGCGCCAGGAGCAGCCCAGAATGCTAGAACCATCGATGCTAGGAACGGGTACCCAGGAAGGGAGGGGGAAGAAGGGGGGAACTGCCTCAGCAGGGAAAGGACGGCGTGTTCCAAAGCCCCGCTCGGGCAGCAGCTCGGAGAAGGATGGGCGACTCTCCGGGCTGAGGGACACGCATCTGTCACGACGTTCAAAACAAGGCTACAGGGCGTCGGGAAATGGCGGAGGCCACCTCCGGGGCGTTTCCACTCCGCTCGCCACGCGCCGGGGACCCGAGGCCCTTCGGCGGCCGCTCCTCCGAAACTTCTTCCAGAGCAGCCGGCCGGGCGACCCGAGCCTCACTGAGGCCTCCCCGAGGACCGTCCGCTCCCGAGTCTCGCGAGAGCACGGCCTCGCCCGCCCAGCATGCCGCGCGCCGCCGCCGCTGTCGCCGCCGCCGCCGCCGCGCCGCGGCCTGAGGGCGGGAGGCTGGGGGAGGGTAGCGGAGCCGGCGCCGCCGCCATGTTGGGTCTGAGGCGTCTGCTGTAGGCGCCGACGGAGCGAGCGGGCGGGCGGGCGCGCGTGCGGAGCAGCGACAGCGGCGCGGGATCTGCCTCTCTGTGAGCGGCCCGAAGCGGCGGCGGCGGCGGCGGCGCCATGAGCGGGGGCACCCCTTACATCGGCAGCAAGATCAGCCTCATCTCCAAAGCGGAGATCCGCTACGAGGGCATCCTCTACACCATCGACACCGAGAACTCCACGGTAGCCCTCGCCAAAGGTACGGCGGGGCGGGCCTCGGGGGGTGGCGGGGGCAGGCCGGGCCGGGCGTCGCTCGGCGCCGCGGCCTCGCTCCCTTCTCCCCTTCTCCCCTTCCCTCCGCCGTCCTCCGGAGAGCCGCTCCCTCCCCAGCCCAGGCCGGCCGGACCGCGGCCCTCCCCGGGGGCTCCTGGACGTCCAGCCCCGGAGGTCCGCGCCTTCAATCCGGGATCTCCGGGATTCGGTGCTCGGCGGGCGGGCGGGCGGGGCGGCCATCAAGTCCGAGAACCCCGAGAGAGGTGTCTTCCAACTCGGAAAATTCGGTAGTTGTGTCCTCCTGCCACAAAACAAAGCCGGAGTAGTCAAAGAATTTTTTTTTTTCCGCCCAGCTGGAGTTGAGTGCCGATTGCCTAGCGCCCGTTTTTTCGCATGTATTTGATTTTTCCGATCGTGGCAATATTCCTCAGGTGAACTCTTGAACGTGTCAAAAACTTTGGGTTTGCTCTGCGACGCCCCTGTGGTCTCCACCTTGCCGTCGGTAACCATGGGAGCCGATCCCTTTCGCCCTGGTCCGGGCTGTGGTATTTACCTGTTCAACCGGAATCCTTGCTAGCCCTGTTGTGCAAGCCTCTCTTTGGGGGGTACACGTTGGACCCTGCTGGCTGTTTCTCCGATTGCCCTGTTTCTGGGATCCTGGGTGGGGAGACGAGTTCGAATTTGTACCCAGGACCCTGAGTGGCCCCGTGGGGGTGGTTCACGAGAAAGCAGCCCGACCCCTGTAATGTGTTTAGTTTCACCACAGTGTTTTTTGTTTTTTTTTTACTTCCGTTCAGCGTGCTGGGCCTTTGCTCTGCCAGGAAACCAGAGAGAAAAAATGAGCGAGCTGCTTGGTGTTCAAAAGACAGCAGTTGGGAGCCCTGGGTACACGGGACGGTTTTTTTTTCCAGCGCATCTGGTAGCGTGATGGGCGGCCAGGAACGGGAAGGACAGAGGTTTGGGGATAGAAAGGAACTTTTCTAAATGGCGAAAGGGTAACATTTTAAGTTATTTGATGGAAGAGTCATTTTGCAGTATCGAACAAGTGTCTCACAGCTTTTTGAGATGTTTCCTTAGATCCTTCTACTAGGCTTTGCCCTGGAGTAAATCTGAGTGGGAGAGCTTTGGACGTAACATAACTGTATTCTAAACAAGAGGGGTTTGAGAAGTGCCACAGTTGCCCTGCGGTGATAGTTGCATGCTCTGAATTTACAGAAAATTCTTAAAAATTGTGTACTTTAAGAAGTTAGCAAATAAACAAATATATGTATCCATTTTTTTTAATTTGAGAGGCAGAGAGCATAGCTGTTCCATCTATTGGTTTAATTCCCCAATTTCCCAAAACAGCTGGAGTCCCATCAGGCCAGCCTCAGGAGCTCCGTTCAGGCCTCCTACAGGGGTGGCAGGGACCTAAATCCGTAAACCATCCCTCAGCCTCCCGGGGTTAGGGTTAGGGTTAAAGGTTAGGCTAAAAGGGAAACTGGAGCCTGGTGCAGAACCCGAGTAAGCCAAATGCTACTCCCATGTCTGTTGTAAAAAATACTAGTAAGCTGCGGAATACTCCCAAACTTCTCTTTTTGCCATAGCTAACATTGTGTCATGAGACAATCATGACAACTACTGGTTATCTTTGGGAAATTGATTGCACTTGACAGTGTGTGCCCTTTGCTGGTTATGAAGGGTGTGACCGAAGGCACAGCCGTTCCCCAGCTCCATTTGCCATCCAGCTTCCTGCTGCGGCAGCACCTGAGAGGCAGCAGGTGCTGGCTCAGGTGGTTGGGCCCCCACCACCCACGTGGAAGACCTAGATTGAGCTGGCCCGAACCGGCCCAGCCGTGGGTTTGGGGGCATTCAGAGAATGAGTCAACAGGTGAAAAATCTCTGGCTTTCTGCCTTTCAGATACTTTTTTTAAATTTCTTTTTTTTTTTTAAATTAGACTTGATTAGTGATGCTTGCTAAATAAGTTTTTTGTTTAGCCTCATTTTATTATTTTTTCCTAGATGCTTATCTGTGTAGAGTTTCAGTTATCGTGACTTCGTGAAATTTGAAAAGGGTTCTCTCTGAAGTCTTAGAGCCATATACAGTTGAAAATGCGTTTCTCATTTAGGTGGCTTAATAACTTTCAAACGCATTGTTTTATTTAATTTGAACTTAAAGGTATCTTCTCAATTGAGTGACTTATCAGTGAGGTTACCTGAGCCTCCTTTATTTCTGACCCAAAAAAATCTGCATTTAATACTAACTTTTATTTTCTAGTTTTTTTTAAGTTTTATTTTTGATGACTTTCACATAGTTGATTAGGGTGTGAAGGATCCAGGGCTAGGGGAAAGTGAGACCATTATTTACACTCTCTCTTTTTCCTTCCTGTATCTGGGGCAAGGCGGGAGATAAGGCAGAAGCCACACCCAGCCTTCCAACCATCCCAGGGTCCCGGATGTGGGGCATGGCTCCGAGGGGCCTGCTCATGAGGTTTTGATAGTTCAACAGCTCTGAATTGCTGTTGATCCCGCCACTCCAGTCACTACGAAATCTCCAGAATCCACCAGCTGACCCCACACACAAAAAAAATCTGTATTGTGTTAAGATTTTCAAAGTATCAGTTGCAGTCCTTTTTGTTTTTTGTACTGTTAATGCATTCTTTTTTGCACAGACCTAAAAAGTCTTTGGTTTAATGACCCACGTTTTAATTGCATGTTTAGCTGCTTCCAGAGTCAATAAATATTCATTTATAATAGTTAAACTCATGTGAAACTGACTAAATTTATATGACATAAAATAGTTTGTTTCTGGTATTATTGCTTAATATCAAGAAATGAAAAACATTTTAATTGAATTCATACAAATGTCATTATATTTAATCCCACATGCATCAATACTCATGTACTTTTTCTTTAGCAATATGAAGTGTTGTGCATTGGGTTTGGGAGTTAGGTTTGCAAGCACTGTAAGTTACCAACTCTTAATATACTGTTTTGCCTGCTCCACTGCACCACAGCCCTGACCCCATTTACCTCACATTTAAAATTAGAAATGGTTAAAGTTCAGTGTGAACATTGCACCTTTTCAAGATGTGAGTGAAAATGATGATGTGAAGACCCTGGGAGAGGACGGCCTGTACAAACCAAGAAGGGAAAGACGGCGGAACGCTATTCAAGGAATTAGGAACACCACGTGGGGGCGTTCTCACCTGGAGATGATGTTTGAGAACTAGAGCACTTGCCATCTCCTGGTCCGCTCCCCACAGGCCCTGTAGCTGGAACTGAGGAGCTCAGCTTCTCACTGCTGCTCCAAGAAGTGCTTTGGTAGAGGTGCCTGGACTCCTGAGCGCTAGATTGCTATTGAACCCACATACTCCATGACAGGGTGTGAGCATCCTAACAACTAGGCTAAACATCCACCGCATATTAGTCTTTTTAAGCTGTGGATTAAGATTTAATCTCCGAGGGGGCCAGCAGGATGACTCAGTGGCTAAATCCTCACCTTACAAATGCTGGGATTCCAAAAGGGCATTGGTTCGTGTCCTGGCTTCTCCACTTGCCTGCCAGCTCCCTGCTTCTGGCTTGGAAAAGCACTGGAGAATGGCCTGAAACCTGGGGACCCTGCACTCGCATGCAAGACCTGGAATGAGCTCTTGTTTTGTTTCCTTCTTCAGATGGCTTAGCTCTGGCCATTCGTGGAAGGTTGGAAGATGTTTCTGTCTCTCAGTAAATCTGATCTGCCTTTCCAATAAAATAAATAAATCTTTAGGGAAAAAAAAAAGAATTAGGACCCAGCACAGTAGCCTCATGGCTAAAGTCCTCTTTTTGCACAAGCTGGGATCCCACATGGGCGCTGATTCTAATCCTAGCGGCCCCACTACCCATCCAGCTCCCTGCTTGTGTCCTGGGAAAGTAGTCCAAGTCGGCCCAAAGCCTTGGGCCCCTGTGCCCGTGTGGGAGAGGCAGAAGATGCTCCGGGCTCCTGGCTTCAGATTGGCTCAACCCCAGTCATTCTGGTCACTTGAGGAGTGAATCATCGGATGGAAGATCTTCCTCTGCATCTCATCCTCTCTTTATATCTGACTTTCCAATTAAAATTTAAATCTTTTTAAAAATTTGATCTGAAAATTTTCTTTAGAATTTTGTTGTTTTATTACTATTATTCTTTTTTATTCTAAAATAGAGCCATACATGCTGAACCGGTAGGCAAGACAAAAGCATTATTTCAAGTCCAGATTCTTGTAACTAAGCACCACTCAGGGACAGTCACCTGCCAGCATCCCAAAAGCCTCTTGTAGCCTAACCTGCGTCTTCCAACATTGTGACCTCTACTGTCTTATTCTGACATTTGTCACTTACTAGTTTATTTTTTGTTTTTGTTGTTGCAATGTTTTCCTTTATGACTAAAACTCATGTGTCTCATGTTAACAGTTCTGGATAGTCTGCAGTTGCCATTTGGATCGTTCCTAGTCGATGACATTTATGTGTAAGTGCACTGCTGCATCTTTACAGTATCAACTTAAGATTTGAATTGCAGGATCTTAGGGAGTGTATACCTGTATCAGTTAATGATATTCTATATCCCTCATCAACAGTACTTTGTATCCCGTATGTGATACCAGTCTCGTGAGTATGTAGTTACATATAGATTTAATCCTCATTTCCCTTATTACTGATGAGGTTGTGTGCTTTCATGTCTTGACCGTTTTGATTTGTATTTCATTTTTCATGGCATGCCTTTTGAAATCTTTTTCCTTTTCTAATTGAAATACCTCTCTTTGTAGAGTTCTGTGTTCTATGTCAGTCCTTAGTGTATATATTGTGAATATCTTTCCATTTGATGTTCTAGAGTTCTTGTTTGGATGAAATTCACTGGGATGTACACATTTATCTTTTATGGTCAGTGGGATCTTTAAGGTTTATTTATTTATTTATTTGTCTGTTTATTTTGGAAAATGCAATGAGAGAGAGACAGAGAGACAGGTCTTCCATCTGCTGATGCACTTC